ACGGGACATTGTTAAGACCGATCTGAGGACTAAGATTTTTCTGCTGGTCGACGAAAAAGCAATTCAAAGTCTCAGCAATGTCACCTTTGTTAGTAATGATTTCACTCCCATTGACTAATTACTGCAGTTTGGGTTCCGGGTCGTCGTTACCCGACAAGCATTTCATCAGATTCCAAAGTTTCCGTGAATTATGTTTGCTTCGTTTCCCTAATTAAATTTGTCATGTAATTTTTTGCTCGCCTGTAATTAAGCCAGTCATTGTTGGAACCGCTTTTCTTGGCTTTAGTGAGAAGTTTATCGCCCTCCTTAAATCTGTCGACGATGTGGTTATTGAACCATTTAGGTTGGGACTTATGCTTCACTCGCTTGTGTTTAAGAGGGAGGAATCTATCGACTACGCCTTGGAAAATATCGTACCAGGCATCAACAACGTCATAAGGATCATCAAAGATAAACACAGAATCCCAAGGCGCCTCTTTCAACGCAGCAATAAACTGTTCTTTATTAAGATTCTTGATGTCACGGTAGGTGATTGTCGTATGCTCAGTTTTGTTTTGTTGCACGCCCTTGTATGTTCTTGTCACAATGGTTGGTAGGTGATCTGACATACCAGTAGATAATAACCGCTCATTTATTAGCCGCTCAGGGTGACTACTCCAGATGTGATCGAGGCAGGTTTTGGACAATGGTCGGGTAATTTCCATTACAAGTTGTGACATATTCAAATTTTGCAGCATTTTTATGAATGGATGTTTCTGAAGTTTTATGGTGCATAGAAAATCGATGTTAATGTCTCCCAATAAAATGATTTCCTTGTTGAGAAGATGTACGTTCTCAACGTTTTTCCCGAGTCTCTTGTCATCAGCCACTCTAAACGAAGGAGGCCTGTAGACACCACCAATAAAGAGAGAACGTCTCGATTTGTAGGGGCAGACCTCTAACCACAGGAGATCTAGGTCTTCAGCTTCCAGGTCTCCCCGTCTCTTAGCCTGAAGCGAATTATTTACAAAAACAAGTATTCCACCACCTGATTTCCCCATTCTGTCCTTTCGATGAAGCTGATATCCGTCAGTGTTAAAGAAAGAATCCGGCACTTTTTGGGTGCAAAAGGTCTCAGATAGAATTAGAATATCCAATCTATCATGTTCATTGCCAGGTAGAGTTAAGAGTGACCGGATCTCTTCAAGCTTGCTATCTGTTAAGCGTTGGACGTTCCATTGGCAAATACGCAGACCATTTGCTCGCTGAGCTTGGCCAGGGCCAGGCTGAACTTCGACATCATTAGCCGGTTGAATAAGAAGCAGCGAAATTGAGGCATTGAGCGCTAGTCGACATCCGAGGAGAACTTGCAATGAGTAAGACACGGACCCGTTTGCCTTCACCGCGCTGACGTTTCGTGTTTGGTAGATGTAACTCGCTATTCTTGGTGTAGAAAAGAGATTAGAAGTATAGAATACTTGGCTCTGTCGTTGTTTACATTTCTGGTAGCTGCTACCAGTGAAACAGAGGTAGAAATATAATCATACCAGGCACACAGACCCGCAAACTAAAAATATTACCATTTAGCTTAGCGGCGGCCATGTTTGCAGTTCTCTTCACATATTCTATCGGAAAAGCATTTTTTCAACGTCGTCTTTCCTTTGAAGAGGCAGACTTTACCCTGGCTGTTCATGGCAATTACTAACATCAGTCGGGTGTTAACAATGAATTAATCATGAAAACGTAACACCCGAAGCAAATAAATACACTCGTCAATAGCTGCTTTGAGGGTCAATAATTGCAACTTTGGGGGTCGTTAATCTCAGACACACTTATTACTGTTTGTTTTCCATAGTCATTACCTTTCTCATTTTATTTTGAATCAAGCGTGAACTTCATAGTTACTGTTCTTATGACGGGCTCGATTTTCATACTTTTGTCCAAGGGCACGGTGGCACTTCACCATCTCGTCTTGTTGATCCATTTTCGTGACAAAATTAATAATCGTCTGTTTGTTTGTTTTTTTGTTTTTTTTTACAGTTAAATGAGCGATTAATCCTTGCAGGTTTATGTCTGGTCACTACAAATGGCGAGGAAATTCACCGTGAGTAAATCCTTCCAAGTTGTGGGAGTTTCTTTGTTTGTTTAGTGTAGTTTCAGTAGAGCGTATCAACCTTGACTTACTTCCAACGTAAAATACAAGTCAAGTGAAGTAGTTTTAGTAAACGTTGTTTGCGAGCATTTTAAATCAGTTTGGACGAAAGATTAAGTAAGTAGAAATTGAAATATATCAACTGCAAACATTTATTTTCGTTTTGTTTTTCATAATCTTTAGAACTGAAGAAAGGTTATTTAAGTTTTTAATATAGTTTTTTAACTGATTCAATTTAAGCAAACTGATGATAATTAAGCAATAAACATCCGTAGCAAGTAATTTCCGTAGAAAGTAATAATATTCTGTCATTATTCCTTTAACTGAATTGGAAACAGACAAATCTGAGGGGTGAATTTCAGTTGCAATAAAAAAGGTTTCACCCGTTTGAACAAGTGCTCTAATTTTAATGAAAAAACAAACAAAACGAATCAAAACAGAAAGAAAATAAGAAAAAAAACGAAAAAAAAGATTAACTAAGGATATAACATGACCGGGAAGTTTGTCTTCGAATGTTAATTTAACAGCATGAGGAGATGAAATCAGCAGTATAAAATGTTTCATGTTATATGCGTTTTTAGTAGAGGGCTCGATGTCTCAAGGGGATTGAAGGCTAAACTGTCTCGAGGTTGCGCATGTGGCGAAGTAACTGAATTACTACAACAAGTTAACTGTTTGTTTTCCTGACTACTCATTTTAACCAGTGATCGATCAAAAGCCTTTCCCTTCTTTCATCAAGTTTTCCTATGAACAGAAAATTGCCTTTCAATAAGATGCTTCGATGCTAAAGCGGATACCTCAGTTCCCCTAGAGGATTGACACTTGAGGGTGACTAGTATCTAATTTCTCCTTACATGAAACATCACCCTAGAATCACAAATCAAGGTCACGAGAATAAAGGAAATGACCGTCAACTAAACAAGCTTTTGATTGTTAAAATTTTCTCCTTGTCAGAAGATGTACAGAGAACGGTATGGAGAGCATGTGTACTGATGTTACAGTATACAGGGTTAGGCAACTAACAGAGTCGGTTCATAATTGCTCGTGAATTTAGACTCAGGGACCGATAGCTGGAAAGTGATCCACTGCGCATTTATATGATGATAGTCACTAATGAGACACTGATTAATGCATCAATGGAGTTTATTCTATGACTATCTGAAGCGAAATATAGCGAGCTTCCAAAATGGTTCACCCAGATGTAGATGGCCTTGTTGAAATTACACATGAACCTCTTTGAATAAAACTGCAAAAAACGACAGCAACAGCAAGAACAGTCTTATGCCTATCGGATCCATCAATGGCAATATCTTGTAGGCTGAGACTGGTAAAAATAAGGGCACCATCCCCATTAAGTTTGAAAACAACACAACCAATTACAAAGAGGCGTTAAATCTCACTAACAAGCTTATCCGTGCAAACTCTCCTACTCCACTGTAAGAATTTTAATTAGTATTCTTCAAACCGCTATCTTCTTCCCGCGCACTCAATATTAAACCTTAAACCCTAGTAGACTTAATCTATATCGTTTAATAAAAAAGTAGAAATCCGCCAATCGGAGCCGAGAAGCCAATGAATTATTCCATTTTCGTGGATGGCTTACCGGTCGTTCCTTCGTCATATTCATCGTCAAGGTTTGGAGTGTCCCCCCTGAACCTGAATCAGTCGGAAAATAAAATTTTCGAAAAAAATTAATCAAATTTGAGACGGAATTTAGATGAATTTTCTTTCAAATCAATAATAGTTGCAACATACCTTAGCCATCCATATCTGAAACCTGATTTAAACACATTCAAGTTCATTTCGGGCAGCTTATTACAATCGGTGAATATCTTTGACTGTTGTAATACCCTCCGGGGGATAGAAGGGATGTTCTCAGAATTGTCGCAGATCACCTTGGCCTAAGTGACTTTTCTTATTTCTTGCAAATGGCGAGACGTGAAAGCTGTTTTATCAGTGTTCTTTGCTCGGTTCGGCGCATTTTCATGCCAGAAGCGGTCACCCACTCGCAGTCGTTTGAACTGCTCGGCTAGCAGACATTGAAAGGTTTTCCCTAGTGCTCCCCCCTCCGGATCTGCAGGCTCCATCATTCCTGTGAGGAATCATAAAAATAACAATTACTATAAGCGCCATATTTAGCCCCCCTCTCCTCTTGCGCTTAATTGTTTTAGCTGTGTAAGCTGAACGTAATTGAAATGAAGAAATATTTTAGTGCTGGGCGTAGTTTGCATGACTGGGTCCACGAAGCGAACCCTCCGTTATGGTTGACTACACGAGTGGGAAAGGATCTGGATCACCCGTTTTGATCCCGCAAAAGGAAACAGAGAGCTTGTAGCTAGTTCACATTCGTTAAGAGATTTTGCAGCATTTTTGCAACAAGAAAGTCAGTTGAACAAAAAAAACACCCCAAATTTACTGAAATGTAAAGCAATTTCCATTTGAACGTCGAAAGTAATTCGAGATTTCTTTGGTTTCTCTTTACCTTGCTCTGTTATTGATTAAATCACTGAGGATCAAAAAGTTAGACCAAAGACAGTTTGGTAAGTTGCGTTTTCCCGCACTTCAGTCAGTTTGGTTTCTATTTGCAGTTCTTATTGGCTCCTTCTGATATGCACCTTTTTCCTGATTGGCAGTTGTGATTGCTTTGGTTTTGGTTTTACGAGACTCCATTGAAATGTACTCCATAAAGTAGCGGGAGTGCACCACTTGTCGATCTGATTTCTTTTGATTCACTTTTCCTTGTGGCCGGTCAAAGAAAAAGAAAAGCTAAAAGAAAAGCAACTACGCCCTCTTTACCGATCAGATGAAAAAACTAAACCAAATGTGACTTGATCACTTGCGTTTCATACACTTCGGTCAGTTTTCTTGCTTCTCTCTACCCCTTTTTCGGGTTCTGATTGGCTCCCTATGATAATTCGCTGAGTTCTGATTGGCTCCTTATAACTCCTTTTATTCTGATTGGCCGTTACTATTACTTTGGACTTGATTTCACAGCACTCAATCGATAATCAGTGTATAGCGGCATTGCACCTGCGCAGACATACCTCCAACAAAAAGATCGATGTCCTGGACTGACTGGTACTGGGACTTCAAATTATTTATATCTTTTTCGCCAATTCCAGCGTTTTTCAGATCTTCGAAGTTGTTTACTTTTGGTGTAATTTTACAAAACGTGTTTCGATATGTCGTGTATGAAGGCACACCGCGTTCTCGTCCTCTTTGGATGTTGATGGCTATGAGGTCGGACAAGTCACCGGGGCCTCGAAACAGGTTTTCTTGTACAGAGCTTGAAAAACGCCTGGAAAGAGAATCAGGTCAACCCAAGGATCAATCGCGAGAATCATTATCTTGTATTGAGTTACTGATAATTCTACTTATACCTGGGGATCTATAGAAATTGGATATTTTTGATTACGGGATTAGTCGCTTTTTTCTTTTAACTCTTCTATCCAGCAACCTGATAGGAAGATTTTTTTAAACGAATATTCTAGCACAGACTTTGTCTTTCTCGAGGGAAAAAGTTTAAATCAAATACATTCCGGGATAAAATGATTTTTCATTCGATTTTGACATCTAATTAACTGTTTTGTTTTTCGCAAAACCCCCACCTTTCTTTCGCCTAATTATCCCTCCCTCCCTCTTTCCCCCCTCCGGATGACAACGTATCAATTGTTTGGCTTTTTCCAAACAAGAGATACGTACAAGAATGTCCTATATACCTTTTATCTCTTACTCACCCATCAACTTTGGCTGCTGGACTCTTCACCAAGCCTCTAAAGATGGCATCGACACCACCATTACACTTGTCATATAGGTAGGTTGGATTACCAAAGTCCAGTACTGGGATGGGAGTGTACTCTGAGTCTTTGCTGCATTTGTGTTCAAAACCCTCTTGAGTAAAACGTAGAAACTCCTCCTGAACCAAACTATGCCCAAATCGGAAAGCTGCCGCAGAAAAGGCCTGGGACACTTGGGCGTTGACGCCAGAGTTGTAACCATTGAAATACCGGCTTCCTTTCAGCAGAGCGAGATTGTTTTTTCTGATCTACAAAATTAAGAAAAGAAGTCAATTGGGAACTAAGAAAAGAAAATGAGAGAGAGAATTAGAAACTGTTACATACCGTTCTGGGGCTAAGAAGCAGTGGCAGAAACTCATTGTATGTAATAACTTGTAATTCCGCCCCAACGATTCTCCTGGTCTCCTGGTAAATCTGCTCTGCTTCCCAATCTGTGTTTTTACCAAAAAACTCTGCTATTCGGTTGTGTTCCCGGACGAACAGAGTATGAACTGACATAAGACCTGTTATATCCATGAAATATATATCATTAGAAATAAGATAGGGTAAGAAATATAGGGTAAGATAGAAGGGCTTGTGACGGAAAGATGTCGGACAAACACCCGCACAGGATACTCCCTATATTTTTCAGGGCATGGTTTTTGGGTTGTCGAGTATGAACCCTTTCACCACACGGAATAACCAAAAGTATTTTCTCCCCGCAACATGAGTCTTCCATAAAGCAAAAAGGTGAGAAGAAAAAAGAATTATATCAAAATGGGTGTATTATTTGATGTACTAACAAATTTCCAGATCACCGTAAGAACTGTATGACAGACATTTAGGAGTAATAGTGTTGAGGTCCTGGGGCTAAAGGCTTAATCAGGGCGCATGTGCAATTTCATCATTCCAGTCATAACTTAATAGGGATGTCTGTGCGCAAGCCTTGATATGGTATCAACTTGACAATTCGCTGTCGACATATGTAGCAGTAACAATATTTGACAGTTTTATAGTAAATAGTTGGTCTGAATACGCTATAGGCGTGGTTGAAAAAGGTTGATAGACCACAGCCCAGCTTTGTTGTATTGATCAGGAAGCGAGGTGACCTCACCTTGATTCTCGTTCACACGTTCGTCTCCGGCTATGAAACAAGGTCTGTTAGGATCTCTTGATACGCATGGTATCTCAGGATCTGTTTGTGCTGGTAAAAGATCCCCCAAAGGGCAGCCGTGACGAGTTTTCATAATTCTCATTCTTCCATCAGGGGTTCGAAGGTGTTCAGCTTCCTCCTCGCTAGAGCCGTAAACGTTGGACGCGTCGATGAAAGCTGTTATCGTGTTGGTGTGCTCTCTTGGTCCTGGTGAACACTCTGCTATAAATCCATGGGGAGCATCTCGAATCACCTGGAAGAATGTAACATCCCTCCTCTGGAAGACATCATCATCGGACGGAACCTTAACGTTGAAACACTCTGGCTCAGTAGAGTTAAGGGTTTCACAGTCACATTCCTGTTCTTCCGCCAGCGTTACGTCATGGTCCATGAATTGACCCCAATTCATGGCCAAGTGTGTCAGCGTTGGAGAATCAGGGTTTTTGCGGTTTGCATTTCTGGCATGGACGAAACGACTCACATTTCTCGCGTTGGGCAACTTGTCTCCACTTTCTGCCACACGAGGTGACGAGACCTTATCTTCATAATCAGCTGGTTGTACTCGTCTGAATGGAGTATGGGCTGCTCCAAATAAGGGTCGACGCACATTATTGCAAGTCCCATCAATTGTTCTAAAACGGGCCTCCTCCTTAGACTTATCTGGACATTCTACGCTCCCTAATGGTCTATGTTTTAAACATTGAAGAACCTTTTCCCTGCAGATGCTTATTCTCTCCTCCCTGAAAAAAAAGGAAATATAAATTATTGAGTGGCAGAGTACCACTTGAAATTCAAACACCACAAGAAATATGGAATACGACTACGGAAATAATAAAGGCGCTAGTAATTGTAAAGGACAATTGAGGTATTAGCAAGGTTGAAGTACCATGGGTTGAATTGAATAATTCAGTTTTGGCTAAAGAAATTATGATGAAAAGAAAAGTGAGCGTAAGTTCCAGAGTAAAATGTCTTTTTGAGATAATTATTTCCGAGTTTCGTTTATAGAGAAGTTAATTAATTATAGTAGATTTAAATAATTGATTACGAAGTTTTCTTCGTCCAAAGTTGACCCGCAAAACTTTTGGAGTAACCTTAAGTATCAAAACTAAGCCTAAGGGGCTTGCTGTGAACGCTTTTTTGTGATCTCGTGCTGGAAACACTTACCCACTTGCAGCTATTCCTAAAAGGTTCAAAACACTGCTCTTCTTACAGATGTCTCCAATGGCGCGATTGACACAAGCTTCGTTTTGTAAAGTCCTACGCACTTTCGACTCGTCCGCAATTGAACTTTTACCATGTTGTAGTATCTGGAAGGCCACTACTTTTATCCCTTTTTGTAAGCTATTAGGTTTTTCTCTTTTGGCTTCAGCCATGGATTTTTTCTCCACGGCTTTGAATTCATCTTTGATTTTTTTGCAAACATCGGCCGGCACGCTATCTTGCTCCAGTTCCATGTCCAGGTCATTCAGTTCAGCAATGGTGTGGGTGTCTCCTTCAAATCGGCCTACGTCATTTAGAACAGAAGAGGATCCCTGCTCCAATCCCAGAACCAAAATAAGCAGTAAAGCACCGAGTAAACGTCCTGGCATATTGTCTAATGAAGAGATGAATAAAGTAACTTGAAGCTGTCAAGTCGCAACCAAGAACATATCTTGAGTTCAATCAATTTATTAGCGATATTACTGCTAGTAATGTTGACAACACCATTCTTTTTGCAAATTCTTTTCGTTCTCATTAGTTTTGGGTGATACGCTGTGCGTGACCTCGCAAATTATGACTTGACTGTTTAAAAATAAAATTGGTTTTGTGAAACATAGACCTAATTCTTTGAAAATTCAATTTGATATCTTGATAAGCAACTTTCATTTTTGTTAAATACAGGCTTCTAAAACCTGCCGTGATTCTCTTTAGTGCAAAATTAGGTAGTTTTGTGTTTCAGAGTGACATAAAAATGATTAAAACTTATTCTTTGAAATCGGGTGAATAATTTGTAGAAATGAACCGTTTTAAGTTCGACCCTTTTATAGATTAAGGCCACCGGCGCGTGAAACTTCATTTAGGACTTCGGTACTAAGACATGACAGTCCAACGTTTTAATAACTTTTTGCAAGTTTTTTCTTAAAGCTGACTGACTCGTTAATTTGAAACAAATTTCCGAAAAACTTCGACTGAAAGCTTTCATCAGAATAACAGTGTTTCAAGGAATTATCGAAGAAAAGTTTTATCAACAACTGCCGAAGACATCCTAGCTTGGCATGCTCCGACGTCCGTCATGGATTCAAACTTGTTGTTGAATTTAGTTATGGCCAGTGACAGTGAATGCTTAGAGAGCTTTAATTTTTCGCATTGGGACTACCAGGCAGCTCAAACTTTTCTGGCTTAAAACTTCTTACTTTATACCCCCAAACAGGAATTCTATCTGGTCACTGCGTCTTTTGATATTGTGTTTTTAAATGCAATTAAAATAATCGTTTACCCCAGACAATGGTTTTTTATCCGGATCGACTCATCACACCGGGGAAATAGTTCGATGATTTGTCTTTATTTTTAGAAAGGGCAGCTCGTCAATAAGGCTGCAATAAAAGAATTATGCCTGATTTAATTTTACTTGCATTCCCTAGAAGTTTTCAACGATTACTTTAGAGATCTAATGCTTAAGTCCCTGAAGATGTTGACTTAAATGTATTTTAGGCTCATTAAAAGTGCGCTTGCTTCATTGTGGAGATATGATTTAATAGTTGTTTGAGTTTAGTACATGCGTGTCTTCCAACAAGGAATTCGCTGTTTTTTTTCCTTCATCCAGTAGCGGTGATTTAGTTGTTCGAGTTTGATACGTGGTTTCCTTCAGCAAGGACCTCGCTTGTCAATTCCAATTTTCCACGTTCAGAGTTAAAAGACAAACGCAGATTAGGTCAAGGAAAGAAAATTCGATGCTCAACTCTCAAGAGAATGTAATGTAAGGTTTCAAGAAAGGTAATCAGAGAAAGAAATATCAGCTTTTTTCAAAGAGGCTATTTTAGTCCGGAAAACCTTTTGCTTCCTTCATTTCTTCCGCCATCGTCAAACAAACCAAACCAGTGGTTTTATGTATTTATTAAACAAATGCTAAACCAGAATTCTCGTGCGCTATTCGGTCAGTTGAACCCATCAACAACATTTTCCACGACATTGTGTGTGTTCAGTGCAGACAACTGTAGATAACGCTCGATATATTTCGAACAATTACTTGGCACAACAGTCGTGAGTGTGCGTCTCTTTGGTGTTACCTTAATTTGGCAACTTTCCTGAATAACTGAGCCGGAGTGCAGATGATTAAATTTGTTTGTTCTGAACAAAAATGAAGCAGGAGAAAGGAGAAAATTCCAATCGAACTTCAGACTTAAGGTGCGGTCAAACGCACGCAACATTTCAGCGCAACATCTTGCAACATTGTTGGATCGTTTTGCGTTTTTATTTTAACCTTCCCGTCAGCACCAGTATCCTTAAAAGGGCACATAAATCCAGTTATCATGGTCCGGTCTTCATGTGAAAGACAATCAATTCTTTCCGGAAAAAAAATTAACAAAATGTTCGGCTAAGCTGATCTCCTCAGGGACCCTGTCCGAAACTCAACCCTTTCAAAAAGTTTTCCGGTCTGTTTTGATTCTTAGAGAGCAATGTTCAACGACTTAAAGTCATACAGACTTTCACCTACTTATAGACTTCAGGGTTAATAAAAAATAAACGTACAGAATATTTCATGTGAGTATTGGTTTCTGATTATTAACTTATAAATAAAATTTATAACTTAAAAATAAACGTACAAAATATTTCATGTGAGTATTGGTTTCTGATGATTAACTTATAAATTTCATTCTTACCTTTAAGTCAGTTTGATTCTTCACAATGGGAATACCAAAAGCTACCAAACAGCTCTAACTTTACTGGCTTAAAGCCCCTCATTTTATACCCCCAAACAGGAACTCTAAGTGGTCATTGCGGCTTTTTCTGTAGTATTTTTAAATGCAATTAAAATAACTGATTTCTTAAAACAATGGTTGTTCATTAATTGAGTCGTAAACAAGGGAAATAGAATTACTTTGTCTGCATTTTTAGAAAGGGCAGTTCGTCAAAAATATTTACAAATGTTTTACTTTAACCGAGCTGTGAAGACTCCGGAAGCAGTACCACGGTAAAATTTGTTAAGTATTACGACAGAAAATGTTTTAATTTGGTTGATTTTATACTTAACTTTCCATCGAAGATATTACGTAAACGAGTTGTGACGTCAGATGTTGACCTGCCCAATTTCTCATAATCTCTGGTAGGAATTATGTAAGAGGATGGAGACATTAAGACCCTGATACTCATAATTCTTAATAATGAATCAATAACTGAAAGTTATTCTCAAGACTTCTGCTACATTGTAGATTAAGATTAACTAATGGTTTCGTGTTGCAAACCAGAAATTAGTAGTCGGATTAAAAACACTTGTGTGCTTAAGAGTCTGCTAAGGTTCACCGCATCCTTTGTTTCTTTGATTTTTCCCACTTTGTTCAAGCTTACCACAAAACGGAGCTGCCTTCCTTTTAACCTCTCCGCTATCGCCAAACCTACTAAAAAGATTCACCCCTTGGCTATTTACGGCTTGACAGGAGCGCTCTATTCTTTGTCAGTGTTGCCGTCTATCTCTATTTCATTTTCTACCAGTGCAGTTCTTATTCTGTGGAACAGTCAATGACCCTGAATCTGACGAAACTGTCAAAATAATTTGGTAACCCTCATACAAAATGACAGCTACGTTCGTTTTCATCACAGAACTGCATGCGGTAATTGTTATAAGCGTTTTGCACAAACAACCAGGGACTTCCCCTAAGGGAGACAGAGTTCACGAGATACGCAATAAACTCCAACACACAAGACACTACTCGTTAATAAAGATGCAAACCACAACTTGAATTTATTGAGAAATTGCCTTAGGAAATATTTGACGCACTCTAATGTACTCTAGAAGTTGGCCGAGGGTTAGAGGGAATTACAAATTCTCCGACATCAAAAGCTATAAAAAATACTGCATCTCAATAAAAATCAGAATTATGAAACGAATACATTTAACGATAGTCTAGACCATTCTTCACATTGAGTATTTGATAACTCGGACGTTCCATAGTAGCTATCAGAAAACCCCCCAAGCCAATGCTAAATTGATATAAAAAAAAAATGATAAGTCTGTTGAGTTATTTGTGGATTATCCAATAACTATATACATTAACATTCAGTAGCTCGATTTGAGGAGTGTTCAGTTTATTTCTTACTCAATCTTTTACTTCTTCCTGGAGGTCTCTGGTTGTTTGCGCAAACTGACGTAAACATTAATTTACGCGTTCTCGAGAAGAAAGAACAAAGAAATACACAGTAATGCTTCGGTGAATCGTATGAATGATCTATTTTGATAAATAAATGGGCAGTAATGGTGTTTTAAAGTTCTCAGAACTGATTTGCTAGTTTGTTTGCTTGTTTATTGTTAAAGCGCGTACAAATCGTGGTTTCCTTTCGCCGTTTCACTGAAGTTCAATCACGTAGTCCTATCATACTTGAGCCTGAGGGGATTTATTACGGATTTCAGTCATCAACTTTGAGAGGGAAATGAAAAGAGATAAAAGTATATACCGAATTCGTTTTCCCTCCAAGAATGTTCCTCATGCAGAGAGTGTGGATTTTAACCCTTGACCCTATAGCGATTTCTGTGGTAATTATAAGCAATTAGAGAGCGGGAGATTTCTTGTGGTAAAGTACCTTTAACAAATGAAAATTGTTTTTAACTGAATTGTGGTTTGCAGTAGGAAAAATTACTGCTTTCATAATAGATTTAACATTTTCAGTAGAGTTAACATTATTGCAACTATATTCCTGAATCTTTGCTTATTATCCTTCTGGCCCGTAGGTTCCCGCTCACGCAATATCATAGAAAACCATAATGAAAGCTAATTTGGTTTTATTCACTGAGTTGATAATTTAAATCATTATTATTATCATTATTATTATTAGAAAAGTTTTGAGCGTCAGTCCATCGTCTGAGTGAACGACAAAGGGCTTACGCTCAAAACTTAATTAAGCTTTAGCAATTCTACAAGTTCACCAATTTACATTGAACTTATACTGAAGAAATCAGAAATGAAGTAATAAGTCACGTCTTTCGATGAATTCAGTGACCTGCTCAATCTGACTCTAACAACTATGGAAAGAGTTTTTTATTTGAGTCTTTTTTTGTAGGTGTCCACTGGGCGCCTTGTTCAAGTCAATCAGACGTCAGTCAGCTTGTTGACACAGAATTAGTTATGTAGCCCACAGAACGCACATCCGATTATCTATGCACCTGCTAAGAGCTGCTCAAGGGGTCGGTATCTCTTAGGTAGACAAGAATTTCCTATCTTTGCCCACAGGTTAAGGGCGCACTAGCGCTTCGCTGAATTGCCTTATTGATCTGTTTTTCGTGAATGAATGTGGCAGTAATCATTCACCTTTTGCCTCATTTATACTTCCATCGAGGATAAATCTATGTAGTATTTTAAACCGTAAAGGAAAGTCACTCTAAGTAAATGCCAATGGGTGTTTTTTCTTTTTTTTTTTTTTTTTTTTTTTTTTNTGTTTTCTTTTTTTTCTCATGGGCTGAGACATGTTAGTTCAATGCCCAATGGGTGTTTTTTTTTTTTTTTTTTTCTTTTTTTTTTTTAAGTCGTGAGAGCTTGTTTGTCTGTTTTCTTTGCCGTGCGGGTACCTATAAATAGCCGGTCTTCCTTTTTACGCAAATCTATTGTTAAATGAGGTAAATTTTCGGGACACGAAGGAACTAGTGATGGGGATCCCACCCACTGGATTCAATAGAAAGAGCAAAAAAAAAAAACAAAAACAAAAAAAATAGACGTCCTAATTGGCCTTATTTCTTTTATAAGCCTATGTTATTTTTAGGCGTATTGGGAGTGAAGAGTTTCCCCAAGGCACTTCTTTCACCATCAACAATAACTCGTTCAACTCTCGTCGCCAAAGTGGCGCCCACGCTGGCCAGGAACACGAAACACGAGCTGGTTGACTGACCAAAAGGTTTCGCACGAGTCGATTTTTTTTTCCCGCGGCTATTTACGGCTTATTTTCGTAACTTCTTGAAGAAAGGGATTTTTCTCCTCTTGCGTTTGAAACTTATTGCTGACAAATTGCAAATTCCGTTACACTCATTGCCTTATTAGTTGAATATTGAATGATTATCCGTCTGCAATCGTAGAAGCATTTTACCAATGTCGTCCATCCTTCGCAGAGACTGACTATAACCAGCTGGCTGTTCTTGGCAATACTGAGTTAACAACAGTCGGGTGTTAACTATAAATTAATCATGAAAGCGTAACACGCTAAAATAATTAATACACTCGTAAATAGCTGCATGGAGGGTCGATAATAGCTACTGTGGGGCTCGTTAATCTTAGACACGTATATCACTGTTTTGTTTCCTACAGCGTTTTTATTTTTCATTTTAACCCTGATACATTCTGTATGGTGTTCTGCCACAGCTATCAAAAAACTGTTGCAAACTTAATTTAACTCACGGCTTTTAATATTTTGAATCAAGTGTAAATTCCATAGTAATGTTCTTGAGGCTGGTGCCGGCGATTTTCATACATTAGCCACAGGCACGGTGGCGCTTCACCGCCTTGTCTTATTGATCTATTTTGGTGACGCGAAAAAAATCTATATTACACAAAATAAACGCGAGGTTTCCAAAAGTTAGGTTTACATACATAGAACTGAAGCGTAATTTTCGAAACAACACTTTGAATGTTATTCTTAAAATGACTATTAAACGAAATTTTCCTTTTTTGTTTTCTAGTTGAAAGCTGTACTTAACATTTGAAATGATCGACCTTAACGCCTGGCGAGTTCTTCCTTGACTATTTTTTGCGCATCGGAAGTACGATTTGGCGGCCAAAAAGTGTCCATATTTC